GTCCTGCTCCGTGTCCTGTGAGAGCTGGGAATGCTCCCTGTGCTCTGGGATCTGCCTCGAGCTGTTAATGGGAAACCTTCCCCGTCCCGGGCCGTGCCCAAAGCCCGGGGTTTGGGGTGGAGTCAAAGGTGAGTTCTGCTCTCCCGGGCAGGTTTGCACCGACATCAACGAGTGTGAGACGGGAGCTGCCCTGAACTGTGTCCCAAACTCCATCTGCATCAACACCCGGGTAAAGCCCCGGGACAGGGAGAGGAGCCCGGGCTGGAGCCGGGCTGGGGGGCTGGGGGGGCTCACCTGGAGGGACAGAGCCCGGGAAATGGGGTCACACTGCCACAGGGCAGGGATGGATGGGATATTGGGGGAGATTGTTCTCTGGGAGGGAATGGGATGGAATTCCCAGAGCAGTGGGGCGGTCCCTGGAGCCCTGGCAGTGCCCGAGGCCGGGCTGGAGCCCCCTGGCACAGTGGGAAGTGTCCCTGCCATGCAGGGGTGGCACTGGATGAGCTTTGGGGTCCTTCCCCCAAACCCCTGGGCATTCCCGGATCCCGGGCCGTTCCCGGCTCCCTTCCCCAGGCTCCCCGYTGCCGGTGGCTCATCCCCGGCGGGGCTTTGCCGGGAAACGCGCCCGAGCTCAGCCCCCGTTCCCTGCAGGGATCCTACAAATGCGGCGCCTGCCAGCCGGGCTTCGTGGGCGACCAGATCCGCGGCTGCCGGAGCGCGGGGCCCGCGGGGACGCGGCGCTGCCCCAACGGCGAGATCAGCCCGTGCCACGAGAAAGCCGAGTGCATCGTGGAGAGGGACGGCTCGCTGTCCTGCCAGGTGCGGGCYGGGCACACTGGGGTCGGGAACAACCCTCCTGCAAATGGGAACCGGTCCCAACCTCCCCCGCCCCAGGATTTCCATAAGGTCCCCCCCAACAATTGGGATCTGGTCCCAATCTGCCGAAATTTGGGTCTGCTCCGCCCCGCCCCGCGCTCGGGGTCCGCCCGCTCCGCGTTCCCTCATCCCGCGCTGCTGTCCCGGGTCTGTCACTGCCCTCTCCTGGAGAGCGCCCTTCCCGAACGGCCCTGCTGGTCCCTGGCACGGCA